GGCTGCACTCAGGGGTGGCTCCAACTGCTCTGCTTCTTTATAGGGATTTAAGGCAAACCTCTCTCTTCTGAGGCGACCCGGGGAGAAGACCTATACTCAGCGTTGCCGCTTGTTTGTCGGGAATTTACCTGCTGATATAACAGACGAAGACTTTAAAAGACTGTTCGCCAAATATGGGGAGCCAGGAGAGGTTTTTATCAACAAGGGGAAAGGCTTTGGATTCATTAAATTGGTAGGCTTTCGAACTGTACGTTCATCCCTTTTAATTCTTGCAAAATAGTAATTTACAACTTGGTTTTCTAAAACTGGATCTTGAACTTCCCTCAGGAATCCAGAGCTCTTGCAGAAATTGCAAAGGCAGAACTGGATGATACCCCCATGAGGGGTCGACAGCTTCGTGTTCGGTTTGCCACACATGCTGCTGCTCTTTCAGTGCGTAATCTTTCACCCTACGTGTCCAACGAGTTGCTGGAGGAAGCTTTTTCCCAGTTCGGTCCAGTGGAAAGAGCTGTTGTGATTGTAGATGATCGAGGTCGATCAACAGGAAAAGGCATTGTTGAATTTGCATCAAAGCCAGCTGCAAGAAAAGCCTTTGAACGGTGTACTGAGGGAGTGTTTTTGTTGACAACGTAAGTATGCTGCTGCTTAGGCTTTTCAGTTTTAAGCTGAATAAAATTGTCAGCTTCTAGTTTTTCAGAATAGAGATTCTTATGGGAAAGTAAAATGAGTATTTTTTTTGTTCAGCACTCCTAGGCCAGTTATTGTGGAACCGTTGGAACAATTGGATGATGAAGACGGTCTTCCAGAAAAGCTTGCTCAGAAGAATCCAATGTATCAAAAGTAGGCACTGTCTTTTGGTGTAAAGAGTATAGAGGTGATGTATGTAGTGTTGTCCCAGACTCTGAAGGAGATGGAGTAATCTTTTCAGAAACAGGCTTTGAATTTTGAGTAGCACTTCCAGTCCTTGGGTTGTTTTAGATGGTGTAACATACTGATCTGTTTGGTGTCTCACAGAGCATTCCATCAGCAGTTTTCTACACTGTATCACAAAGAAACAGTAAAGCCTGAATAGCAGTGTGAAAACAGATGTTTTGATATATGAAGAAACTTGAAAATCAGACTTTTGAACTGTTTGCTCATCCTGTTGTTGAGAACTGTCATCCCACTGAAGGTGTATCTCATGTTGATGATCCCATGGGGAATTTACAAACTCATGTTGTGATATGAAATGAGAAATTAAGTAAAATTTTAACTTGTTGCATGATTGATAAAAACCAGTGCTCTCTGGATTTTGCCTGATGAAGCTGACCACTGGGCACAGAAGAGTAGATGAGAGTCTATAGGAACCTTTTCCTAAGCAGCAGTTTTAGGTTAGGATCAGTATATTAACCCTGTTCGTTGTAGAAATGTTGTCTTTCCCCAGATCACAAAAGGGAGTGTGGGGGGAAGATCCAGGCAGTCTTGTTTGTCTGAGAAAATGTGCAAAAGTTAACTTGCTTTGACCAAAAACTACAAACAGTTCAGACTTGGTGTCTGTTCAAAGACAAAACCTAGTGTAGGTTAGTGCAGTGTTCCTAAAACATTGAAGTACTTTACATTGCTGATGGATGGAAAGCTTTTGAACTTTCCTAGTTTTCTTCCATTAATTACTGAATCTTAGACTCCACTTTCTTTATATGACAAAATAAACCCTTGGCCCTCAGGCATTTTGAAAACTCTTTAAGTTAAAGTGGAGATTATTACTTGCCTTTGACACATAGTGGTTTGAGGATTTTGCACCTGGCAGTTGGGATGTCTAAGGAAGAAGTTAAGAACAAGATAAACATGCAGTAGAACTACTGGAAGTGGGAAGATGTGCTTGGACACGATAGTGCAGGAGTCTCCACATTTGCTATGGTAGCTGTAGAATTTATTTCTGTTAAAAGCTGGTGTTTTAAGTGTAAAATGCTGTGCTAGGATCAGCATTCTGTCACAGCAAGGTTTCTGTCACATAGTTACAAGGTGCTGTTTTCAGGGCTCCTTTGATGTTCCCCGATAATTCTGCTTGTGATCTTTGATTGACCTTCAGTTTCCCGGTTTGCCCACTCTGAACGAGCATCTTCCTTTCTGCAGGGAAAGAGAGACTCCTCCCCGTTTTGCTCAACCTGGCAGTTTTGAATTTGAATATTCCCAGAGGTGGAAATCTTTAGATGAAATGGAAAAACAGCAGAGAGAGCAAGTGGCAAAAAATATGAAAGATGCCAAGGACAAACTTGAAAGTGAGATGGAAGATGCTTATCACGAGCATCAGGCAAACCTGTTGCGTCAAGGTAATTGTCTCTGGGTTTTGTATCATCTTATGTTTTAAATGCTAACTTAAATGTACGGCTGTTTGATGGTTTAATGAATAAATTCATGCTTCCTCCTCCTAACTTCAGAATTTCAGGCTTAAAAAGGAGCAACTGGTAGTTTTTCAGTTTTTATTTAGGTTATTAAGAGTTGTGACACTCGGAAGGCAGCTGCCTGCCCTAGTGCAAATGAGGTTGATCTGATTCAAATCTGAGTTGAAATCTGACGTGAGTTTGTGAAATAGCTGCTGACAAACTTGGTTTCCACAGACCTCATGCGGCGTCAGGAGGAGCTGAGACGTATGGAAGAACTCCACAACCAAGAAATGCAGAAACGCAAGGAAATTCAGCTCAGGTTGGTTTCCCTTTCATGGGGTTGTTGTTTTTTTCAATGTTACATTTGTATTTAAAATGACTTATATGTGAAAGTTTTTATTTCTCAAGAAACACCATTGCTGCTTCATTTTGTGTGTGAGAAATTGAACTGCAGTGTAAGTTTTTTCCTGGAGTATTTGAACATTGTAGAGTATCTTCTTTTGCTTAAGTGTAATTGTTCAGTGCCTTTTACATTGCTCATGCAAGTGATAAGTGTTGGTAAGTGTCAAACATGTTCCACTCCCGGGGTTTAACAGTCTGCTTTGGGATGATCAGGCAGGAGGAGGAGCGCCGCAGGCGGGAAGAGGAAATGATGATACGCCAGCGAGAGATGGAAGAACAAATGAGAAGACAGAGGGAAGAGAATTATAGTAGAATGGGTTACATGGATCCAGTAAGTTCAGTCATGATGGTTTTTGGTTCCATTGCCATGTTCAGGAATTTTTTGGATGTATTTTCAAGATTGATGCGTTTTGTTCCCTCTAGGTTAGGTAACATGATGTCTCTGTGTAGGTGAAATCGTAGTAGTTGGCTGTACATGTGCTTTATCTTCTGAAAGGTATGGGTTTCAGCAGCTGATCATCTGTGCTAAAAGTTGTTTCTTCTATGCAGAGGGAGAGAGACATGAGAATGGGTGGTGCCACCACAATGAACATGGGAGGTAAAGACTTTTTAAATAATTACTTGATGTGCTTAATTTGGAAATTGTCAGAATATGATGATATATTTCTCTTTCTTAGATCCTTATGCTTCTGCAGCCCAGAAATTCCCACCTCTTGGAGGTGGTGGCGGAATAGGTTATGAAGCTAATCCAGGAGTTGGCCAAGCAGCCATGAGTGGTTCTATGATGGGAAGTGACATGGTAACGTATCCTGTGGTGGCTTTAGTTTAGCACGAGGGAAATGTTGCGGTTGGGAATTGAGTTCTCTACCAGTGTTGGGATGGTTGTGTAAATGTCACTGTGAACTGCTGACTCTCTTGTCAGGTGTTTAACACGAAGACTAGTGTGGCAGTTTTAGCACTAGATTAGTTCTTAACCCTTATGGTGGCTGACACAGACAGAAGTTGTTTGTAAGTGAATTCAAATGTGCTGTTAAGCATATTTGCAATTAACTCTTGACTTTATTGGACTTTGGAAATTCTGCATCACTGTTAGGCTTGGAAGGATTTTTTAATAAATTCTAGAGAATCTGACAAATTTCATAAACTACATGATGTAGTAGCTTGTCAGTATTTTGACATTGTGTATTTGTTATCCTTTCTGTTGTGTATCTACACTTATTTTCGACCCTTCCAAGCCTAGTTAGGGTTGATGCATGTTGGTATGGGTATGCTGTTACTGCACAAATCTGCGCTCATGTCTATTTCAGCAGCAGATTAACTTAAGTAATCAGTGGTGAACAGCACATCACTTACTCTGTGTTCTGATATTTGCCATAGAAGAGCAGAAATGCTGTTTTTTAGCTTGAGGCACGTTCCAGTGATCCTTGCCTGTGGCCATTTTGTGGTTCCTGTCTCACAAAGGAATGATAGCCCGCTCTTGTTTTCCCGTGTTGGGCTTGACTCTGTAGGTAGAGTTTGTTAAAGCTATGACATATCTCATGTTTTGAGGTATGTTTCCAAACTGTACTATTTTTGGCACACTAAAGGTGTGAAGGGGCTGTGAGCCTGCTTGGTGTTATCACACTGAAGCAATATGGGGGTAGGTTAAAGAAATGCTGAATGGGCAGGATGGAAATGTGTGCTTTAGGTGGTGATACTGGTGTGCTTTCACCCTCCTGAAAGGGTGTACACTTTGTAGCACAAACTGAACTAAATTATTTTTGGGTGGGTTTAGGCCTCTGGATTAATGTGGTGAGCTACTGCAGTAGCTTGTCAGGTGTCTTCTGGTTTTTTTTGGGGAGCCATATCTTGGGAATGATAACTTTGCAGAGCATCATTGATTCAGTAGACAGTGCCGTTGGCCTGAATGTATCTCTCTAATCTACTGATATTTAAGCAGTTCCTAAGTTTCCCGTGAGCAGTCAGGCAGTCTGTGGTGAATGCTGTGTACATTTTTCTCCTGAAAATCATGGTACAGGTGCATGCTGAACTTGTGTCATAATTGAAAACGTGATGTGGTCAAAGGTGTGACAGTGAGGTGCTTTAAATACCTTGAGTTTCTTAGGATGGGGATCTCTGCCACACAGTGCTGTCACAGTTCTGGGCTGATACCTTTGAAACAGAATGGAGCTAAACTGCCATGAATTAGGCAGAAGGAACCTAGGTAATCTTTCTGAAATTCCTTTCCTGGAAGGATTGAAACTGACTTTCAGAAGTCAAGAACTGGAAGTGTGACTTTTCAGTTGCAGATACCTTTTGTAACAAACAACCTACCGTTGTTCTATTACTCAGGAGTGGAAAACTTACTTGAAAGGAAAGTTTAAAGCTATCTTTGACTTGATAATTTGTCAGTTCTGTAGATTGAATGCTGATCACACCTCCTGATACAGTAACTGAATGAAGCACATGAAACTAGAGGTACTAGTGAAAATACCTGAAGCCTCTGCTTTATTGCAGGGTAATTTAAGCTTTTACATCTCGGTGTGAAACCTTTCAGTGCTGTGAAGTTGTGAATTTTCCAAGACCTTGTGGTGAAGGTGGGGTGGGAAGGGAGATACTGACTGGTTGCACACAAGCCTTTTGTGCATAGTTCTAACTGGAAACACTGGAAAAGAAAAAAATTGCAGTTGTTTGAACACGTTTTGCATATTACACAGCAGCAGTTGCGGAGTACGTGGGGTTTGAACAAATGCAAGTCTTTTGATGGAGCAATTGCGTTGGTTAGGTAAATCACTGGTCATTAGCTTTTTTTTTTTTCACCTTTTTTTTGTTTCTTCTTGCAATCCAGTAGTGCTCACAATCAGTTTTGGTTACTGCCTAAAGGCCTCTGCAGTTTAGTCAGCAGACCGTAGTCTTAACCCCATCTTGAAAAGCACATGGTCTCTATTGCAGCACATGCCATTAACTGGTGAGTAGGCATTCTGTTTACAATGACATTTGATGAATGTCAGCTCATACTTCAGTGAACTGAAGATTGGTTCTCTGGCTAGGCTTATTTGGAAATGACAGTGATGTAATCTAAGCTTTTACTGCTCTAAAGGTGAGAAGTTTGCAAGCTGTTTGCATTAACTTGGTTGAAAATTGCTAGAGCTCATTTGGAAAAGTTGTTAATTCACATCTGCACTAATGCTTACATTTCTAGCACTGCAGGGAAGATCTGTTCTTTGTAACAGATGTATGAGAAATGCATCAAGTGGGAACATACCTCAAGGCATGTATTTACAATAAACTAATTTTTAAATTACCCTTTTTTCCTTTCTATGTTCCCGGTACCTGTGGATCGGCTCAATGGTGATTGTATCGACGAACCTTGACTACGGAACCTTCTAAAAATATATACTTAACACACATGGACATCAACTACATATAATGAACTGTTAATTCTCTTCCAATAGCGTCCTGAACGCTTTGGGCAGGGAGGTGCGGGGCCTGTGGGTGGCCAGGGTCCTAGAGGAATGGGGCCTGGAACACCAACAGGATATGGTAGAGGGAGAGAAGAATATGAAGGCCCAAACAAAAAGCCCCGATTTTAGATGTGACCTGTAGTTTCATTCCAGTTTGTTTTTTGTCTGTCTTGTTTAGACACCAACTTTTTAATTCTTGCATTTTAGTAAGAAAGCTACGTTTTTATGGATGTTAGAAACTTACTGACCTAATATTTGTAAGTGGTCTGTTTGGGCGAGTACAATTTAATTATGTAATGCAGTGTTTCAAAACAAATTTAGCTGTTTTTTTGATGTATAACGTCCCTTAACTTGATGGCAGTGTACCTTGTGCCACTGAATTCCCAAAGTGTACCAACTTTTTTTTACTGTGCTTCAAATAAATAGAAAACTAAATGTAGTAACTCTTCTTGCCATTCGTGGTTAAACGTACGAGGCTTAAATCCCACACCTGCAGTAAACCCAAGAGTCTTGAGTAGAGGTCGAACTAGACCAGGGTGTGGAACTGGAGTGAAGAGTGAGATCTCTTCCTGTAATGCCTCTAGCTTAAGATTGGGTCAAATAGGAGCCTGACTTTCCAGTAGGTGCTGATTTATTTTTTTTTAGCATTAATTGTGCTGCAATAAGGAAGCAAACAGATATCTTGCAAGTGCTGTAAGATACAATAATTAAAGCTACGCTGCAAGCAGTGCAGTACGTAATGAATGTCATACTTTAGCTACAGATAATGGGTGGTGGGATGGTAGCACTTACCACCTTGGCAGTTACTGCTTGGAATCTTTAAAAGACTTTAAGCAGAAGATGAGCAATGGTTATTTTAAAATAAATTCATAGAATGACTTGTATTGGCTGACTTCCTAACTAAAGGATTGTTAATGTGATATTTCTATGCTCTTAAGCTGTCTGAGATGACAGGATTTGGCCTTGCTCCGTATTGTATGCTTACCTGAAAATGCTTGGCAAAAAGACCAGAAGTGTTTTCTTGAGTCATTAAGGCTAACTTGCTTATGTCCTCATGCTAATTGAGTGGACTAATTTGCATAGTTCAGAATACAATTATTTGTATTATGGGGACTGCAGGAACTATTCTTAAATCATGTAGCTGGTGGGCAAATCCTAAAAAGCTGTCTGTAAAAATACAGAATTTAGCTTGCTTGCATGATGGTTATCGCTCTTTTATTATTGATGTCTGGAGATAATGCATCAAAAGTAGTGTCTGAATCTGGAGTTTAATAGTTAATACCACACAGTACAAATAAACTCCCTTTAAGGTTCTTTTGTAGAAGATTTGATGAATTTGTTAGCTTCCTCTTCATTTTATTAAGCCCCAGAAGAATTTCAAAGCATTCTGGACTCATTGATCAGGTAGTTGCTTTATATTGACACTGTACCAGATAAGCTGGGAACATGATTTCCCAGTGTAAAATACCTTGGTGTTAACGCAGGGTACATCAACCTGCTTGGCACAGAGTAAACTTAGTTTGGCTGTAACCTTCACACGATTCCCCAACCACTGAGTATTCTGTGAGTAGCTTTAATCTTCCAAAGACCTTTCCATTCCTTGTGCTAAGCATTGGCTAATTCTAAATTCTATGCTAAATTTTCTCTGTGGTTAAAACTTTTAGTGTCAGATTGCAGTATTTTAGAATGCAGATGATCCCTCTTGAAGTACTGACTGTAAGTGGTGTTACACCTTAAATGAACAAAAAATGGGATGTTGTGAAACGCTGATACCAGGTAACACTGACTTGGAATATTAAGCTCACTAAATAGCAACTCAGCTTGTTTGGTGAACGCTTCTTATTTTCCCAGAAAAGTTTGGGGGTTTGATAACATGCTAACAACAATGAATTGCTATTCAGGAAATTCTGAAATGGCAATTCCTAAACTGTGGACCAAGTATTTGGGAGTACTTGTATTGGATACTTAGTTTAAAAATGAGCAGGACCGATGCAATTTGCTTTTATTGCAGTAGTGTTAAATAATGCATATTGTTTTCTGGAGGGTGTTCCTGGGACACCCGCTAAAAGGTGAAGTGTCTGAGATGGGGAATTCTGAACGTAAACATTAAATTAATTTTTTCAGTTTATTTTTCAGATTACATGTCATTCTTTATTAAAGAGATGCTGGTGCATATCCTAAAGAATGTTCTTTTGTAGTTCTGTAACTTGGAAGAGTGAAGGATGCTGATGTCCTTGTACCTTACAGAGGTGGTCTTTTGGTACCCCTGTTTTGTACGTAAGCCTACTGTTGCTAGGTATTAAAAAATAGCCGAGTTGCAAAACCATGATGAGTAAATACATCCTAAGATTTGGCAGTTTTCAAAACATCTGAAAGTTTGGTTAAATCTAGCTCTGTTGTAGCTGCATAAGCAGAATTTCTAAAACAAGTTCTGCTTCGAGTGGCGTGTATTAAACAGGCAGACAGTTAACTAGCCAACTTCTTTTCCAGACCTTTTAAAGGTGATGTCTTAAAAGCTGGCAAACATGTCAACTTTAAAACCTGATAAAGTTGCTAAATGTGGGAGGTGAGAAAGGTATGTTCTTTCTGTTCCTTTGAAGTATTGGACTTTTTTTTTTCATAAAATCAGATTTATATAATTGAATCTTTAAAACCATTTAGAAAAGCGCTTCATTGGTCAGACCTGTTTTTGGCTGGTCTGGATCACATAACACCTTTTTGTACTGGACTTGGAGGACATTGGCTGTTGCAATTTAGCTTGTTTTATCAAAATTTGAGCCCATTTTAACCCTTAGATCTATAAAACTGCAGCCTGTAGAAACTGGTGTCGTTATACATGTTATCTTCATGCTTTCTCAGAAATGAATATGGAATAATCTTATCTTCTGGTGTAGACACATTACACTAATCATTTATACAGCTGATGAGAAACTGAAACTGCTTTTGAGATTTTGTGGTATTTTTGTGGTAGAAAAATTCTTGGCTTCTCCTTGGCAACCATTTACTGTGGCAGCAAGTTTTTTTTTTGTTGGAGTTTGAGACTGCAATTTACACTTTAAACTAGTGGCCTGCTACATAACTGCACTTAGCCAGCATTTCTGCAGTTCATAACTGTGAGGAACGTAGTACCACAAATGGCAATGGACATTAGGACCCGGATGTAGTATTCCTGCTTGCTCCAAGATTCTCATTGCCGACTGCGTACAGGTAGGTAACAAGCAATATAATATAACTTGGTGACTTTACTATGTAATCTTATACTGTGGGTATTCTGACATCACACTTCTGACTGTGGAATTACAGTGCAGCACTCTTCATACCTGTATGTTAAGCTTGCATCAAAGCTGCGTGGGTTTGGGTTTTAAGCTTTGTCTTGTGTCAGAGTCGATAAGCAACTCGCTGTGATTCTTAGATCAGTATTTTCAGACCCGATTCCTTTGTACATAACGACTCGGCTTGTGTGGATTTTTCTTAGTTCCGATGTAACGAAGATATTCTTAGAAGGAGCTCTGTGGGGAAGAGGGAATGTGATCTTAAACTCACTTACCTAGTTGACTAGGTGCTCTCAGTGCCTAGAAAAGGACTGGTTGAACTTTCTGTAGTGACAGGATGGCCCATCTGCAGCCCATCCCTTTGCGCGGGGTCTTGGCTGGGTAGGAGACGCGATAGCAGCGGCTGCTCTAGCCTCGTGTGCACTGCGTGGTAGTCACGTTACACTTGCTAATACAGTCAGCCTTGAGACTGATTCCGAGTATTTTTGAGGACATACAAACGAGTGCTTGAATGAATTTCCCCCATGAGTAGTTTCACAGAGCTTATTGGACATTTTAGTTGTCTTTATTTTAATCTTTGATTGACAAGCGTAATCCATTCCTCTGCCTTTAACTGACAGTGATGAGATGCTGTGTTCCTGCCTCGGAGAGTCATCTTGGTAGTGATTTCATTCTTCATCAGTCTTGGTGATGTAATTCTAAACTCTTCATTACTAGAAATACTGAATGTAGTGTTTCAGGATTAACATGCTTACCTTTCCAGACATCCAGACACGCTGATCTCCAGCTCTTTTGCATTAGCTCTTGAACCTGAATTTCTAGGTCCCTTTGTTGCAGCACATGATCTAACTCTTGTCTGATGTTCAGTTTATTTCAGAGGTGTTGTAACGTGTTTTCCTGCTTGATCTGCAAAGTTCTGCTTTGCATACTTGTTTCTGGTATTGTCACATTTGGACCCTTCTTGTGTGATCTTCCAGGCAAGACTCTTGCTGGTGAACAGGGGATCTGCTGGACAGCCTTGCCCTCTGCTGTAGCTAGCTTTTCATGTTCCATCAAAAGCTTGAAGTAGCAGCTGCACCTTAAGATCTCATAATAAAAGGTCTTTGGTTACACCACAGAGAGTGTAGCCGAGCTCTAGCTAGTCAAGCAGTGGCACCACTTGTCACAAAGTCAGTTTGGCTTCTCGTGATGGCTTATTCCTCCTACCTGTGACTAGAATTCAGTAGCAAAACTCATGGCAGTGTGCATACTGTCATGCAGCAAAAACTGAATTACTAATCTTTAAAACCAGTGCTCAGATCTGACTAGTTTCTCCAGTGTGCTCTGGATACCTGACTTGACCTGCAGGAATGTCATGGAGGGGTTAACAGCACATCTGCCTTGTTCTACATACTTGAACTCAGCAGGTTTTTGATGCTCCTGGAGCAAGCAGTTTGTGACTGAACCATGGGTCTGGTACCAGCTCTGACTGACTGCAGTAGTGAAACTTGGTGTGGTAGCTAACTGAAAAGCAAATAGTCATGTCTGCTCTAAGTCAGCCTGTAACAAGTGGGTACAAGCAATGACATTACAGTGCTTGCATTGTGTTTCATCTTGGTCTTACCTGTGTGTGAAATACACTTTTTCTCAAAAGCTTATCTGAAGCTCAGAAGTGTGGTGTCAGAATACATATGCGTACCTGCTAGGCCCTCAGATCCAGGTACTGGTGCTGGCAGGAGAAGAGCACAGCAATAGCGTGTATGGGGGCTTTACTGTAACATTAAGCATACAAAGTGTTGATTTGCTTGCAGTTTTCCCCATAGCTAAACACTGAGGCCTGTGAGTAGTTTTAGGACTCAAGCAGTAATGGGGTTGCATGTCTCTGTTAATCATTGCCAGCTGCAGTGACATGATCAGGAAGGCCAGTGTTTTGTTCCATTATGTTAAATGAGGCTAAGCATGTTGGAAAGGATGCATAAGTATGCTGTTCTGGGGGTAATTACTTGGCTTCTTCCACTACCAGCAAGTTTGGAATCAGCTAATTAGCTTCAGATTTTTTTTTTTCTCTCCATACCAGTTAGTGGGGCTGTTAAATAGCTGCTTACTGGAAAAGGAAAAAAAAAAAAAACAAACCAAAGGGAGGATTGGCCTTCTCCCACCTCTGTCATTGCTGCTAGGTAATGA